GCTCTTTCTTCCAAATATTAATTGCATTGAAACAACTGGAGTATTTTAATGGCTACTAACATCACTTTTTGGGGCATGCGCATTTATTTTTCCTCACTTTGGCAGATGAAGCCTTAGCATGTTCTTTTTTTTTTTTGGTCCTATTACCAAAAGACGTGCAATGACAAGGCCAGTAGGGGATGCATATGCAGTGGATTTCAGGGTATCAGAACTGTAACACATAGCAGCAGCAGAAGCATGACCATACATTGCATAAGCAATTATCTCACCCTATGTTACGAAACTAACCAGGTTCTCTGAACTGGACAAAGCATACACACCAATCTCAAAGAGTTAGGAATCCAACTTTAGTTATCCAAATAAGTCATCTGACTGTACATGGTGATGAAGAGCCACAGCTCTTTTCGATAGCAGCTGGAGCCATGGGTACTTGGCACCTATGATTATGTAGGGGCTTAAATAGGGATCTCGGTGCCTAATTTCAGACACATCTAAAAATGTCGATCGCTCTCTTCACGTTTAATATCTTCCATCTTGTATAATGTGCTCCCTCACAAGAATCCCTCAAACTCAAACAAATCAGAACACATGCACTTTGATTTTAAAAGAGCACATGGCCAAATACTAGCAAGATGCCTGATTGTGTATTACAGAAGTTATTACGGCTGAGAGATGATTAACGGATTTTTTGAGGGGGCAGTTTTGATCTATTTTTGTGTTTTCCTTTTCATGAAGCACAACATATACAAGTTATTTGGCTGAAGGGTTCCCAGTATGAAACATATGATAATCTTTGAAAGGGAATGCTGCCCGAAGAGAGGCGCTCCAATCTAACCGCCTAACTAGCAGTCTATACTTCTAGTCTGAAATTTGCTATTGCCCAATTGTTTACAATAAGTGGGGCAATTAATCTATTTTGCCCAGAACTTTTTATTCCAAGTAGGGATGTAAATAGGCAGGAAAAAAAAGTTAATAGGTTAAACAAGTTAATTGCAATCATTCAAATAGTTAACTATGCTGTGGCAGGGGTCTGGCCACCCACTAGGTGGGGGGCTCCTCCAACCCAGACCTCTAGGAGTGGGCAGAGGACTGCTCCAGCCAGCCAGCAAGGGTCCCACAAGGGTGCTTTGGTTGGCTGGCTGGGGGGGGAGTTGCTGCAAGTGGGAGACTGCTCTGGCCGGGGTCCCACTGTGGGCAGGGGAATACTCCAGTGGCTGGCCAGGGTGCTGCCAAACAGGCCGCAGCAGGCAGGGGGCTGCTCACCCAACCCTGCCAGTTAACTAGTTACCTGGTAAGCATGCCAGTAAGTCTAATGCTTACCAGGAAACTGGTTAATCTTTCACATCCCTAATTCCAAATAAAACTCATTAAAATTAACCATTTACCCCAGGTACATAAAATGGACTAACAAATCTGAAATGCACATTTTGTGTTCATTAGCATTTCTTTCCAATTATGAAATCATATTCAATGTAATTTCTCAGAGGGCAGGGAAGGTTTATATTGTTCTCTGCTCTTGCAAAAGCAGTACTAACTTTCAACTTGGTCATTCTTTCCATAGAAACGTTCACTAGATAATGCCAACTATGTCTGCTGCAAATAGACTATACACTCCAGTAAGTCTGCTATCACAACACCGTATTCGATTAAGGCATATACCTTACTGCCTCTGTCGTAAAAATACAGGTTGAACTTCTCTAGTCCAGCACCCTCAGGACCTGACCAGTGCCGAACCAGAGAATTTGCTGAACCAATTCAATATTGGGAGGTCAATATTGTTTTGCAGCATTACCAACACTTCCACTGCTTACTGGGCTCTTAGAAAACATTGAGGAGGGGTAAGTTAGAGCTAAGTAACAGCACAGAACACTGAGAGCCAGGACTAGTGTAAACAAACTTTATGGGACTGTGGGAAACTTGGCCACACCCATCATAAGTGAACATCCTGTGGACTAAAATCCTGCTGGACCACAGTGTGTGGGACTAGAGAAGTTCAACCAGGATTCTAGTCCATCCTTTTTCAGTTCTGACGCATAAATTAAAGACTTTATCAATACACTTTCTATACTTCTCTAATGACTTTCAGTGTAGCAGAATTCCAAACAGATCTCATAAAAACATTTGTCGTTCTTCATAGCTTATTTCGAGTGTATTTGAAAATAGCTTATTTTGTAATTTGGCTCTATCTACACAGGAGTTGAAATTCTGAAATAACTCACTATGCCAAAATGCCCCTTAAGCCTCATAGAACGAGGGTTACCAGGATGTTGGAATAAGCCACCCGTTATTTCAAAGTCTATTTTGAAATAACGGGCTGCTTCAAAAGACACGGAATAGCTATTTCGGGATACTTCCAGTGTCCTGAAATAGCTCCGCAGTGTAGATGCACCATCCTTTTATGGGAGAGCCACATTTTGCCATGTTCATCTTAAATATGAAAGGTTATTGCATCTAGAAAACACAGTATCAAGTACAGAATAAAAGGTATACAGAATTCAAACCATTACTATGCCTTCTGAATATTTTCCCAAATAAATATAAAATATCCTCTAACCTTGTAGGCTTCTAATATTCCAAGTTCCAGAAAGCATGCAAAAGATGGACAGGTAGAAGTAATACCCCTAACTTGGTGCCTGTGTTGCTTTTACCAGCTATGTTTCAAACTTACAATCTTTTGACACCTAGATGTCTACTTTTTCCATTTTTAATTACTTAAATACACTGGCCACGTCTGCGCTGTCAATCAAGCAGAGGGTCTTGTTTCCCCAGAAGCATCTTTACCAAAGCAAAGAATTTCCTCTTCATACAACTTCCAGACGACAATTAAAGAATTTCAAATCTCAGCTATTCAACTGAGAAAATACTGTTTTCCCATAATCATCTCCCTATTTTGTATTATACGAAGGAAAAGAAAATGTATGCAACATTACTGAACGTACGATGCAACATAGATATGCTCCCTGCAATGAGGTTGTGGATCTCACACAGTTTGTAGCAGGTGGCGAGACATCTCTGGAAATGCTGCCAAGATTCAAGAGAGAAGCAGCCGCTTGAGATTTGGGCTACAAATAGCCCAGCAATCAGGAATTCCAGGGGAGTGGGAAAAATGTTGACAAGCTGAGCAGTCAGCAAGTACCTGATTCATGAGGGAAAATAAATACAAGCAAGAGAAGGAAAGATGTTACAGGAGCTCAAAGCCCTTGGGAGACCACAAGGTATTCTCTCTGGGCTGCATTCATCTCAGGGCTGCATGAAGCTCTCTCTTAGGGCTCGTCTAGACTACATGGAAGATTTGAAAGAGGATATGCAAATTTGTATATCTTCTTCTGATCTCACTTTCGAAAGCAAAGCTTTCAAAAGTGAAAGTAGTGAGGACGCAGCTTTTTCGGCAACCCCCCCTTTATCGAAAAGCCACTCTTCCTCAGAAAATGAGGTTTACACGGCTTTTCGAAAAAGGGGGGTTTACTGAAAAAGCCATGTCCTGACTACTTTCACTTTCAAAAGCTCTGCTTTTCGAATCTCCCGCGTAGTCTAGACATAGCCTTATTGTCTGGATCCTGGCCTACATGAAATCCGAACTAATAATTATATAGATCTGGATGTATGAAAACTCTGCCAGTGATCTTGTATTAAAGTAAATTATATCCTTGGCAAATTCCTTCCTCAGAACTGTTTCCTTAAGTTCTAAGCTATCAGAACTCCAGAGGTCCTCTCCCCAGTTTCTCCTCTGACCCACCCAAAGGAGCCCACCAGTAAATAAAGGGGGCCACATGGTATGTTGAAAACCTGCACAATGAAGGATGAGCTGCATTACATACTTTCCTGCTTTTGGGCACAATCTACCCACTTAGGAGGTACTTTATCACGTTTAGACGTACCTTGCAACATCAGCTACGACTGTGCCATGCAAACTCTTATTATCACTGTCAGGTGACATTATAAACTAGAAGCAGGCAGCATTGTCTTTAAAAGCAGGGGTAGGGAACCTTGTTTGGGTCAGAGGCCGCTGACCCTAAGAAAAATCAGTCAGGGCCTGAACACAATTGACAAGCCGAAAAAAAAAATCCACTCCTTACTGACTTGCCCCTTACTCTGAGAAGGAGAAAGATACTCTACACAATCCCCTCGCACACCAGAGCCTCGGGGAGGCCAGGCTAGAAGATTTTGTGTGCTCCAGCCCCATGGTAGGGCGGCCAGGGTGGGGGGGGCTAAAGCACTAGTAAGGGCTCCCCATTGCTGAGGAGAGGGAGTCCTGAGCCTTAGGAGCCAAATCCAGGAAAGCCAGGGGCCAGAGGTTCCCATACCCTTCTTTAAAGCTTTATATTCATTTTTGAGGGCAGTTATGTGAAAATAATGCTACATTTGTAAATTGCACGTTCATGACTAAGAGATTGCACTGCAGTACTTGTATGAGATGACCTGAAAACACTATTTCTTTTTTAGAGTGCAAATATGTATAATCCAAACTAAAAGTACGTTTGTATTCTGTGTTGTAATGGAAATACATATATTTGAAAATGTAGGAAAAAAACCCAGAAATATAATACATTTAAATTGGCCCTCTGATTATTTAACAGTGTGGTTAAAACAGCTTAAACATAACTTTTTAAACTAGTTAATTTGTTTTACATTAATCGCTTGAGATGATTGCAATTAACTGACAGCCCTATTTTTATGGCATATTTTTAAACTGTAGCAAATTTTTTCTGGCTGAGGTATAAGTGGCTATTTTCATTAGAATTGGAACTTGTAATGGAAACATTGAGACATTTGACACAACTTTACATCAGTTCCAGCACAGTGCTACACTTCTAAAATTGCATTTGGTTGAAATTTTCATGTTGAGAAGTCTCTAAATCATCATTCATTCCATTAAAAAAAAAAAAGGATCGTTGATGACAATGCTGTCTTGTCTCAAGAATGTAAGATAAGAAGCTGGTTGAGAAAATCATGTTAAAAACTTGCACATAGAAGAAGACAAAAAGTGCTAAGCTACTTACAGCCAGCGAGCAGATATTGATAATACTGCACTGCATCTGCAGCGAGGAGCAATGGATGGTTTGCATTAAACGGTGGTTGCAGTTCGTTCCACTGAGGAGTTCTGAGGACACAACACAGGAATATTAATATTTAAGCTAATACGGAGAATGTAAATCAGTGTCTGTGTCAGCACAAGCTTGTACAATGTTTGCAATTATTTAAATTAGCTTGTTCGAGACCTGAAATACACAACAGTCTGTCGAAAAGTGTGACTAACTCACACAGTCCGTGAGGTGCCGACACGTTTCGGCTGACAGTACTATATATGGAACACAAAAAGGGATCAAGACAGTTTAGAATATGTTGACAAATGAATGTTAAAATAATTATGTGTCATGCTAGCATTAATATTAACGCACAACCGCACCTGATGAACACTTGTGTTTTCTTACACTATTGCTTCTACTGTTCTCTAACGGAAATCAAGTACCTACAAACCTGTGAAAACAGAGCCGTGTAAAGTTATGGACTATTGATCCAATTAGAATTTGCAATTCCATTTCAACCTGCTCATTTCAACAATAATGGTCTAGAAGACTGTGTTGTAATTTTAATTACGGCTGGCCACTCCTAAATAGCTTGGTAAATCAAGTATTGATTAGTCCAGTCCAGGAATGGGTAGTACTAAAGAATATTGGAGCCTACAAAAATCAATGGAAAAATATTTTAAAATGTCGAAAGCACTGACAACATTTTCTCATCAATTTCTGTTTGTTTTATTCCATAAGTCAGGATTAATTTCTTCAACTATGGTTGATAAGATTCAACATTCAAGTACTTACAGGAAATCTTGCCTAGCTTCTTGCTGTATGTTGCAGAAGCCAATCATACAGCTCAGTGAAGAACTTCAGTTCTGTATTTTTACTGCTAGAATAATTAACTGTTTCAAGTCTTAGTAAAAAAAAGAAGCTAAATTTTATTTGATTATTTGAAAGGAATTTAGCACAGATTTCTATATCCTTCAACAATGGACTTCAAACTTGTGTGCAATGTCTGTGTGTCTATTGGGGCTGGCAAAATTATTAAAAATATAGGACCATATTTCAATCTGTCTGCAGTAATGAAAGGTTTTGCTACTGACTTCCAAAAAGGTCTGGATTTGACCATCACCAAACATTCAGCCCTGATCAGTGTGGAGGATGGAGTTGAGCATCTGTGATTCCCACAGAGGTCAATATTGGCTGAGGTCATTCACCCCCTTCCTAAAACAAAGAAAAGAGCAATCCAAAGAGATGAGCTACCTAACCAAGGTCCAGCTGGCTCTCGGACAGGTCACCATTTCCAAAGGCGTGTCATCGCTGATCTTCGGAGCAGTGCTGAGGGGACGTGGCTCCAATACGTGTTCTACCAGGGTTCCGTAACAACTGATAATATACAGCGATTCTACCACAAACTGTTTTGATTGATCTATGGGCAAGAAAACATAGAAAGTATATGTTATTACAACAGAAGAGCAGAGGCAGACAAATTTTCAAATTTAAATTCCAAGTTTTCAAATTTAAATTTACAAATTTAATTTCCCTTTTTATAAATGTCCGTGGTTGACCGCATTGATTAATATCAGGGGCGGAAGGGGAGATTCTAGAGAGGTATAGGGAAGAAAGGCACAGAACATGCTTATTTCTTCACTGACAAAGGCCCAATTAGCATGTATCACAACTAATCCGGTTGGATTCCCTGACTGCCTCCTAGGAATGGGGTGTGTTTGGGTAGCCACATATTACCAGTCTATGTTTATGTAGCTACTTCTGACAGGTATTTCACCCTATGGAGTAGCTTCCACTCCTGAATAGCACACCAGAGGCATCTCTAAACACAACAGGATCCCAAGTGACTTTGTGGTCATTACTCTATATATAAAGTCACAGACTCATTTTGCAATTTCAATTATCTTGTACATTGGTGCTATATCATAAAGGCATGCTCCTGATGCCCTCAGTTTCCAGTGACTTCCAGAAGTTTGACAGACCCCGAAGACAGTTGCAAAGACAATAAATAAATAGAACAGATACCCAGTGTTTGGTCAAGAGCTCTCTGAGAATGAGATAGCAAACCAAAACCAAGACAAATCCAAAAGATCAAACCTAATTATTTTCCAAACACACCAACCTTTTTCTCTTTTTAGACCTGGATTGTTTGCAAACCAGGATCGCGACGAGCCAAAGACTGCGGCAACACAAAACTCTCCTCCCACAGATTTACTAGGTGAAATCTGTGGAGCTGGTTTGGCTTTGCTTAAAATAAAAACAAAGTAAAATTAACACGCAGCAATGCTCAAAGATACATTTCACTAGTGATCCAAGAGTCCCCTTACTCAACCTTTATTCCAGGTCCCATAGTCCTCATTTTCAGAATTACTGAGCACTTCCACTCCCACTAGTTGCAACTAGAATTGCGAAAGCTCAGTTTCTGAAAATCAGGCCCCAAGTGTTCCTTTAACTGCTGAGCTTTAAGAACAGGACTGTCTAATAATGCAGAATTGTTTACATTGTTTGAAGGACTCAGTATAGCACATCTGCAATCGCCAGGAACAACTTCCAGATGGAATGCAAACATTTTTACACACCTTATTATTGAGACTCGGGGGACAGAAAGTCTAGATTCTGGGTCAATCGCTTTAGTTCGTTGCCATTTTCTTGCATTTTTAAAGAGGAGACACAAACAATCCTAACGTGTTCTGCCGGGCAGAGTAATCATCTACTTGCAGCTTCAATTCCCCAGTGGGAAAAATGGGATGGGGGCAGGAAGGCGAGACGAAGGTGCATGCAGAGGATACAAGGCAATGGAGACAGAGGGCAATAATAATGTTATGTAAAAAACACTACTGTGAAGAATGAAAGTAAGAAGTGCTGTCTTCTGGGACACCACAGAGTGTGTAAGATTCAATGGTACGTCATTATGTTCAGCGACAACACCAGTCAATGTTTTATTTTCCTTCTTGTGTCCTTTCATTTAGCCTGGGTGAAATTGATCAAAGGTCAATCTAAACCCAGAAACTGGAGATTAATTAAAACATAAACACTGGAGGATTCTGTTCTGTTTTACATGCATTCACAATAATTTTCAGAGCAATGCTCATTTCCTCAATTAATTTAACCACAAAACAAAAGGGCTGGCCAAGATGCTTTACTAAAGTCGCTGTCTCCCTTCTCTCTCATCTGCCTGTTTCATCCCTCTCTCTTCTTCTGTTTCTCTCATTCTCCTTTAGGCTGCTACCTTCCCCACTTTGCTTATTTTCTCTTGGTTGCTTTGTTGCTCCACAAAACACCAACCTCCTTGCAAGCTCTGAATTTATCATATTCCCTACTCTCAACCCTCTTAATTTTTGTACAATGGGATTTTCAATCCCATAGGTATTCGCAACACCACATTTTTATTGCATTATCATGGACTCGAGTGGCAGAAAACCAAATGGAGAAACAACTGATAATAAAACAACCCTAATCTGGTGTATAATTATCAAAGTGCTTGCGTAATTCATAGCAGTCAGCATTTTTTGTAATATTAACCACTTATAAGTGGGTGATGTGG